AGCCATTTAAAAATCTATACATAAATAGAAATGCTTCAATAAATAGACCACAAAAGTCAACTCCAAGTCAAATGTTATAACAAATATTAAAAACAATCATATTAATATGAAGCAAATACTCAATGTTTATTCAGAAGTGATATTCCGGGCTATTTAAATAAAAATTTTTAAATGATGCTTCTTTGGACATCTAAATTAAGTCAGTCAGATGCAGATTCAAAAGTCACCTAAAGCTCACTGGTTCTACTTATACTTTTGAAGTTTCAAAGACTTTGAAGCTAGCATAAAAGAACAATTTCAGGAAAAGTATGATAATCATGCCAATGGGTAAATGATACTTGTTTTTGTTCTCCCTCAAAGCAAGAAGCCAAGGTCTATTTAACTGATCAATTTGTCTCAAGAGAGACAAATTAAGCTAGCATTCTTAATATAAACTAACAACAGTTAGTAGAAAGGTTAAAAGAATTAAGGTATGGGTGTTTATAACACAAACACAGAATAACAAAGACTATTAAAGTACTTAGATAGGAACACGGTTCTAGAGAGTCCCAAAGGATGTTATTATGTTTACTCACTTGAGAGCAACAGATAAGCCAATGTTTTGGGGAAAACATTTTCCATATGCTAAACATCATTCACTGATTTGCAAATCCTTTACATTTGCAAAATTAAATGTTGCCTGATTAAAGTTCACAATATAAAGAGAAAAGAAAGGGAGAAAACTTCAACAGATCAAGAACCATAGTGGGCCAGTTCAAATTTACCTACAAAGCTGTTTTAGGAATAAACATGTTGTGACTCTATACTACCAAAAGGGATCTCCAGGGACAGGGACAGGCAAGTCTATTTTCAAAAAGTTCCACAGATTATTTCAATTGTAAAACCATAATTGATAACTACTACTGTAGACAATCTCATCCTTGTCCTGGCTTTAATTACCATCTACCATCTCTCCCTAACTACCAACACCCACTGTTATTACTCCTGACTCTGGTGTAGAAACCATTCTCTACAACAGCCAGAGTAACCTTTAAAATAATGTGATTTAACTCACCTCACTTCCTACTGCACTTACAGAAACTTCTTATCCTGGAATATAAAGTCCTGCATGATCTGACCACTGCCTCTCTCATCAAAGCTTGGACCATTCCTACCCTGACCTACTTGTACTGCTGCAACACTGGCCTTTTTCCTTTTCTCCGCACACACCAGCATCTTTCCCAGTTTAAGGTCTCTGCACTGGCAGTTCCTTCCATGGAGGTCTTCCCTCTGATCATTACTTGGTTTGTTCCTCCTTATCAATTATATTTCAGTTTAATGTTCCTCCAAAAGGAAGTCTTTCTCTAATCAGCCTAAAATCATTTGTTATCTCAAAACCATTAAAATATTTTCTGAATAGCACATATCACTATTGAAAACTAATTTACACACATTCTTAACATTTTTTAAATTATTATTATTATTTTGTTAATCCTCTCCAGAGCATATTTTTTCCATTGCTTTTTCAGAGTAGAAGGGAAGGAAGCAGAGGAGAGAGAGACAGAGACAGACAGAGACAGACAGAGAGAGAGAGAGAGAGAGAGAGAGAGAGAGAGAGAGAGAGAGAGAGAGAGAGAAACATCGATGTGAGAGACACTTCAATTGGTTGTCTCCCACATGTGCTCTGACTAGGGGTTGGGGATTGAACCTGAAACCTAGGTACATGCCATTAACTGGGAATCAAACCTATATGACCTTTCAGTCCACACCCAATGCTCTAAACACTGGACAGACCATCCTTACCTTTTTAAAAATAATGTGTACCTCCCACCCATTAGAATAAAATTTCTGTGAGATCAAGTCTGCTTGCTTACTGCCATAGCTCCACAAGTGCCTACACTGTAAATACACTCCGTAATAACTGGCCAGATGAAAATCCAAATGCCTTCTTGATTGACATTTCCACATGAATGTCTTAAAGGCAACTGCATATATCCTCTAATAGAATTTACGATCTCCACATCTCCTTAAATATCTGGACCTATGAGTTTATGTTTCTGACCTAAATGCATAGCAATATCCCACCACAGTATCATAAACCAGATATTTAGGTGTCATTTTTTATACTTCCTTTTCCAAGTCCTATTGTAAATTTGTCTTTTATAAATACTGAATAAACATGTTGTGTTTATTGCCCCACTCTCTTCCAACATCACTAACCCATCCAATGTCTAAATAACCATTTCTCACCTGAATTACCCAACTAATCTACTCAATTTCTCCTCTGGCATCCCTCCAATCCATTTTTCACTGCAGTTATATGATCTACTCAAATACAATCTGATTTTTATCACTTTCCTACTTAATATTCTTTTAAACAGCCTGTTCTAGATTCTCTGGCTTCATTTCTCACCACTCCCCCAGCCAATCATCCATCAATTCATTCAACAAATATAGACTTAGTACCCAGTGTCAGGCTGATACAAAATGGACAAAGATCCTGATTTCATGAAACTTATAATCTAATAGGGGAGGTTATCGCAAAAAAAAAAAAATCAACAAATACTAAGTTATAATCGCATAGTAGTAAGTACTAAAATGAAGAATAAAGCAGGGTAAATTCATAAAATAATTGTTCACCATAGAGCATAATAAAAAACTGTGGACAGTTTTGGGTTGTGTCAATAATGAGAAGATGCTACTCGGTAGAGTCCAGGGATGCTGACTGTCCTGCAATCCAAGACAGTCCCACACACAAAGTGCTGTTCTCAACCCATGACACTTTCCCATGTCCATGTAGGTGAAAACCTGCTTATAATTATCTACATCCTAAGTTTATTTTACATACAAAAACAAAAAAGTTTCATGTGATTTTAATATACAGATTTCCCAGAAATGGAACTATCTTATAAAGTGAGGGAAGACTATATACTTTGTTTAGTTTACAACTTTACTAAGTTTGCATTTTTAGTTGTCCCATTAATGATACTATATGGGTAAGCACCTAACTCCTTCAGTATGTCTATTTCAGTGAGTGTATAGGACGCAAAATTAAAAAGGGTGGCCACTAGTCCTCATCTGGGAAGGTGAAAGCTGAGCAAAGCCCCAAGATAAATTAGACAGTCTAGTGCAAAAAGTGCCAAGGTCTTAAGTTAGGCACATATATGGCATTACTGAGGAATATTAAGGAGACCAGTGTGTCCATACTCCCTCCTAAATATCTCTTATACTTCTGTATTGTAATAACTTCTTTTTAAGTCTGTTCAAAGACTAGACTACAAATTCCATGACATTAAGAGGAGAGACCATGTTTTCTCCTCTTAACATCATCAAGGCTACACAGAGTACCAGATACATAGCAGATACCTACTAGCTATTTGCTGTATAAAGAAAATAAGTGATGAGGCAACTGATACTTGAAGCTCAGAAAAATAAGATTAGAACTAGAAGCCAGAAAAGAATTAAATGATTGAAATGACAACATAATAAAGTCAGAAGTAAAGTAAACTGAATCTAGACAAATACCAAAGGTAAAAGTATTAAGCTATAATTGTATTTAAAGTAACAAAATAAATTTAAATATAATAAAAATCTCGTAAGCAACTAAATTTGCATTTTTTCCATCTGGCTTTTAATAAAATATACTATGCAATATAATCTACTTGTAGGCTCAGATTCATATTTCTTACTAAGATGTTTGATCTACTATAGATTAAGTATTCTTGTACTAAAACATATGCTTAAAGCTACTAACACAGTGGTAAAGTTGATTTTAACAAATCAGACTTAAAGGCTGATAGAGTTTAAAGACAATTTAGAGACTACCTACTCCAAGTATCTCATCTCAGAGATGACAAGTTGAAGACTAAAGAATTGAAAGGATCTGTCAAAGTTCAGAGCAAGTTAGTAATATACCTACTAGGTTTAATACTCTGTTATGAGTAGATAGCAAAATGATTTATATGACTTTTTAAACATTAAAAGAAGTACTATGACTCCCACAGTACTTCAAGGAAAATGACAAGATCAATGTCTACTGTATTTCTGGCTAGGTAAAAATAAAATCGTTTTTAATTCTATATTTAAAATAACAGCCAGTTCAAGCATCGATCCATGAACCAGAAGGTCACAGTTCAATTCCTGGACAGGGTACATGCCGGGGTTACAGGCTCAATCCTCAATGTGCAGGAGGCTGCCAATCAATGATTCTCTCTCATCATTGATGCTTTTATCTGTTTCTCCCTCTCCTTCTCCCATCCTTTCTCTAAAATCAATAAAAACATATTTTAAAAATTAAAAAAAAAATTGAAATTCCATTTAAGAAAAATCTAAGTGGTGAAAAATAGAATCAATATATATAAAAGCCAAGCAACCAGAACGCCAGAACAACTGGAACCAGTTGCTTTGATGCAAACTGCGCCACCGATCAGCCCCCCTCCCACCCAGATCAGGGGCAGGGCCAGCTGGCCAACTGCCTACAGCCCTTCCCCACAGCTGGCCGCAGTCCCTCCCCCACCCCACCCCAGCCAGCCCCACTCTTGATCCCCACCCCCACCCCAAACAGGGGCAGGGGCAGATGGCCAAACTCCCACTGGCCAGCCCAGTCCCAATAGGCCTCAATCAAGACCCCACCTGTGCATGAATTCGTGCACTGGGCCTCTAGTTAAATAATTTTTAAAAATTAAGAATTTGCTCTGGTTGTTTCCATTTAACAGTAAGTATTAGCATTAGTTCTCTGTTTCCCTAAAACTAACATATTCCCCCAAATAATATCAAAAATCTATATCTAATTATTCTTAAGTTGTCTTATTAATCAAATAAAATTAAAATGAAGAAAATTTCCACTAATAGAACAGGGATTTTTTAATAATCAATATTGATATGATTACATACTATATTTTGCACACTTAAAAATAATTATTATCCCATTGTTTCAACATATTAAGTCCTGAATCACTAATCTGAAATTAATTAAAGAAAAAAATCTTAGAGCATTAAAACCCCACACCTGAAAGACTTACCATTTTATCTAGATGTTCAATGGATCTATAAATCTCCCCCTGGGATTCATCATAGTAACTGTAACGGAACCTTTGACCTTGAAACAAATATCATGTACAAAATAAAATAGGGAAAAATTAGAAGCTAAAAAGAATGCAATCGCTTACCAAATAATTTCAGTTCTCAAGGAAGGCAAAGCACAGCTTAAGCCTTTGAGAGAATCATTCCCAAGAGCCCTTGGTATATAAAAATAAAAGGCATATTTGGGAAAGTAATAAAGAAATTATATATCACCAGTGTTTTATAATGTTAAAACTATTTCAAATTGTAAAACCTTATAGTCACGAACAATACAAAAGACTAAGGAAACAAAACAGCTTAAAAGTTAGAAGCATTGTTAAGTATATTATATCAGTCTATAATGGAAAGTAAACCCAAAGAATACGATGCAAGAAATTTTGGTTTAAGAAAACTCTCAATGTAACAAGTCGATGCAAGCTTAGCTTTTGCTGTACAAATGCAAAGATTTGATCTTTATTATGGAAAAAAAAATAAATAAATAAAGTGTAGATCAGAGATACATGTGGTTTGTGTGATTTTTATTACCTCAAAAACTTTTATCTCATTTTCACAAAACTTTCTACTTGGAAAAGGATCAATACAAGCGCCTTAAAATAGAATTCACAACATAACAGTCCTAATCTGACAATAAAATCTCAATAAGGGTCCGAGCACAGAACAATCGATGGTTAGCCATTCTCCAGAAGGTAAAATGGAAGAAGCTCAAAAAGAAGACAGAAAACAAAAGACTGCTTCCTACTAAAGTCAGAAGAAAACCTAAAACAATGTGTTCTAAACCCACATAATTGTAGAGTATTATTATACAGATTACGTTGCATCTAAATCTTTCTTTCAACAACTCTCTTATTTCCAAGAATTCATTACTTCTCTACTTATTTTAAAGGATGTACCAAAATGCATTTGGGAAGGTATCACAGCACAGCAATCATGTATGCACACACTATGTGTCTTGTGCTTCATTTTCCAGATTAAGTTCATATATCTAATTATTATTCTCATGCCTGAGTAGATTTCTTAGACAGGATAATTAAGATTTTAAGTTTTCTGCTTATCTTGCTAAAAAAATATCATGTTATAAATAATGAGCGGTGCAAAATTATAAAACCTTTTTGATGTCTTATTTTGGAAAACCAGACATCATGTTTCTTAAAACTTAATTTACTTCTTGATGCTGATCATCTTTAATGGTCACTTCTCTACACTATATATATTTCCTTAACTGTTACATTTTAACTTTTTATAATACTGTGTACAAGTATTCAATGTGGCAATTTATTTTTCCCCAAGAGCCAACATTATTCAATCAATATTGCATCTTACATGATATCCTAGAATCAAGCAATAGGTTCTGAGACAGTTGTTTGCTTTCTGAATATAAAAACCTTATTTGTAAACATTGAGATCCACTATAGACCTTGCCCTGAAAAAAAAATTCTTAGACTATGACGGTTCATCACTTAATACCCCTATATCAAAACAATTCATCAAACATTTCTATCAAAATTTGAAAGTATAGTGGTTTTTTTTTGTCTTTAAAGAATTTATGTACTTTCTTCTACCTAATAATAAAAATTATATAATTTACCCTATTTTTTTCTCTTTGCCAGGGACTGTCAGAAGGTTCAAAGACAAATCTACAATCTGCCATAATAATTTATTGATTCAAATCAGAGGTATTAAATGTCCACTTCAATTTCAAGTTCTTTTGACAAAGCTGCCTAAAATCTTTGAGTGAACAATTAAATGAATAATCTTACACAAGGAAATTCTGACTCAAAATCACTATAGTAATATCCTTGTAAGAAATCAAGATGAATATTCTTTGAAGCTGAATGCGTTCTTTTTTCTTGCTTCTGGAGATAGCTACTAGTTTTAGCAGCCAATAATTCCTGTGACCAGGACATAACTGAAGACCAGAGAAAAGTTCACAGACTTTGTGACTGCCATTTGCTATTCAAAAGTCTGATTTGCTTATTTCCCAGTTCAGAGAAACTGTTTCTAATATTAGAAGGTGGCCCAATTTGCCTTAATCCTAATTGAAAAGTTTAACTATATTTTAAAATACTGTCATATCCATTTTATCATCCTAAAGGTAAGTTTCACTTAAAAACTTCTTCTGAAGGAGAAGTATATAAAATGTTTGAAACTTTAAGTGCTCGCTTCGGCAGCATATACACTAAAATGTTTGAAACTTTAAAGTACTAAATCAACATATAATAAGACAAAATAGAAAATCAACGAGTCAATGTTTAATATTTGCTATCTAATTTTTGCTACTCTTTAGTAGCCACCTTGCATTTAGTAGTTGAAGAACTGATTAGAAATACTAGATAAGTTCTAAAGAATCTATTTGTTAAGGAGCTAAATCCACACTACATACAGCTACTATACTGAAAAACTCTTATTTATGACAGTTCAAACTATCTCATAATAATTTTTTTAACACATTAAGCACCAAACCTGGTGTGTCTTCCTTTCAGTTTCAGTCACTTGTGACTGACATAGCGCTTAACGTGTTAAATTGTATAAATATTTAAAAATTATTTCAGCCGAAACCGGTTTGACTCAGTGGACAGAGTGTCAGTCTGCGGACTGAAAGAACCCAGGTTCAATTCCGGTCAAGGGCACGTACATTGGTTGCGGGCACATCCCCGGTAGGGGGTGTGCAGGAGGCAGCTGGTCGATGTATCTCTCTCATCGATGTTTCTAGCTCTCTATCCCTCTCCTTTCCTCACTGTAAAAAAAATCAATAAAATATATATTTTTTAATTATTTCAAAAATTCATTCTGATCAATATACATACAGACAGCATATCATTTAAAGTAAATAACTGGCCCTGGTCAGTGTGGCTTAGTTGGCTGAGCACTATTCCATGCACTGAGATGTCCCTGGTTCCATTCCCGATCAGGGCACATGCCCATTAAGGGGCATGCAGAAGGCAGCTGATCCATGTTTCTCTCTCTCCTTCTCTCTTCCCCTTTCTCTAAAATCAATAAAAACATTAAAAACATAAAATAAAGTAACTGCCATTATCCTAGCCTAGATAAATGTGTATGAGTGTGTGTGCGCGCACGCGTATGTGTATGTATGAGCAAGCACGTGTTAATACACTCTCAATTTTAGTTAAACATCTCTTGGAATTTGAGTTCAAAAGGTATTTTTTGTTTCTAATTATTAAAAAATAAGTGTATCAAGATTTTGTTTAATAAGAAATAATACAATGCAACACTAACACAATACCCTGACCATAAATGTATCTTTAATTAAATGTTTACTGTTGACTTATAATACATTATCATTTCATGTACCTCATGAGCAGACATAGTTTGTTTTTACAATTCTACTAACAATCAATAAAGCTTATCTCCCTAAACTGCACAAATACAGACGCCTATCCACCTGGAGAACGGGACTTGTGTACTTTTAAAAGTATGAGTAAAGCATATTACATAGTAAGAGAAAATTACTTACCTGAAACTTATCCTTTCAGAAGGTACACTGGGAAAATGGATTCTTTGAGCCCCCGTTTCAACGCCAAGTATGAGCTTTCTAGCTTTAAGAGCCACTGGCACTGCCCCTAGGACAGCACAAGCTTTGCAACTCCCCTAGAGAGTATGTCAGTAGTTTCTTCAGGTGCCTTCCCTCAGTTCTTTTCAAATTCAAAAGATGAGAGAAAAAATAACCCAAGAAAAAAATCCTGTAAAGCAGAAACCTTACTCTTTGAGAGAAGGAGGGTAGCTCATTTGTGAATCCATTCCAGAGCACGCTTTCTGAGAAAAAGAAATACAGGTAAGTAATTTTCCCATCTCCAAAGGTGACTGGTGATTAATGAGTGGATTCACAGAGTGTGGAGAATAAGCTCCAGGGATGTCTGTGTAACACACAACAACCAACTAATGAGGACAAACAGAACAATGAATGGGACAAAAATCAATACTATTTTTTAAGTACTTCGAAACAAAAAAATAAAAAAGTATCAAGTACCTCAACATTAAACTATAAACTGGGTTGTAGAATTAAACAATGAGCTTGTAAAGATGATCTAAAAGCCCTAAAAAGATCAGTCAATAAGAGACTTTCAGGCGAATTTCCAGTAAAAATTATACTGTTACAGATTCACTTAATCACTTTATGTTTATATATTAAAATGTCTTAAATATTTTAGTTAACCCTCAGAATCTGTGAGGTAGAGAAGGACCTACAACTGGGGACATTCATAATTGAAATCATTATCAGAGAAAAAATGTATTTCATAAAGGAATTGTATTCTGAGTAGCTTGATGCTAATCATTTTTATAAGCAAAATACTATAGTCCTTTCATTCTGAAATCTTAGTTATTATGTACAAGTATTAACCTTCTCTCAAACTTGTAAAAGATCAAAAACCTAAATATGTGAAATCAGTTATGTATAAATATCAAAGTCAAAGTAGGTAGATTTCAGGAATCAGCTAACTTATACCCAAACAAAATTAAATATTTATAAAATAGTAATGCCCTCATAACCCAAGAGGCAAACAGAAAGAGAAAAGAGTATGCATAATCACTTTGATACATATTGAAGTAGAAATCTGAATAAAGATATACATATTTAGGAGAATACCATTTTTAACAGTTGCCACATATTTATGAAAAAAATTATGTAAACCTAGACAAATATGAAAAAGAAATGATGTAAAACTAGACATTGCTAGAGTGACAGAAGTAAACTTTATTCATATGTTAACAAAATAATATGTTATCAGTAATATTTAACAAATTAATCCACTGAAAATGATTTGTATTTAAAATAATCATTAAATGAAAATTAAATAAAAGCATGGATCCACTTTTAAATAATCAATTTTCTTGTTAGTTTCAGTTTCATTTAGAAGCTTCTTTAAAGTTAACTGAAATTCCTGTTAATGAAAGCTGGTAATAATGTAAATTTGGAAATAGATGCCGGGCCAGCATGGCTCAGTGGCTGAGTGTCGACCTATGAACTGGGAGGTCAAGGTTCGATTCCTGGTCAGAGCACATGCTCAGGTTGGAGCTCCATCCCCCGTGGGACGTGTACAGGAGGCAACCAATCAATGATTCTCTCTCATCATTGATGTTCCCCTCCCTCTCCCTCCCTCCCTCCCTCTCTCTCTCTCTCCCTCTCTCTCTCTCTCTCTCCTCTCTGAAATCAATAAAAGATATTTATAAATACATAAATAAAATTGGAAAGAGAAATTTCAGGAAGGTCAGAAAAACACTAATATTAACAGTATATACATAGGGAAGAGTAAAAATGAAACCTATGAAAATTCTACTAATTACATAAAATTAAAATTGGTTCAGGCAAAATTCTCTTTATATGGAGCCATCCTATAGGATGTGGAACTTAGTAAGTACACAAAGTATGAGGACACCATCATTTAACCAAATACTGGTAGCAAATGTTCTTTCACTTAAGTCACTCTTCCTGAAAGTTCACAGGAAAGATGAAAAGGAATGGGAAATTATAAGGATTACGGGGAAAACATCATTCTCTTGGGCTAATAAGATAAAAGGCAAGGGCTGAAATGCAAGGGGTTTTTAGCAGAATTCAAATGAGGGCGTGGAAAGAAGGGGCACAACAAAATCTAGGTTCCCCCTCTCCCTTTAGCTCATCTCACCCAGGGAAAAAAAACTAAAGGAGTATTTTAGTCTTTATACTATCTCTTTCAAGTCTGAATAAAGCTAAGTGGGATCTGAAAGATGAACATCTTTAAAGCAAAATACACTTTTAAAAAAGGCGGTCAGCCCAATCAGCGTGGCTCAGTAGTTGAGGGTAGACCTATGAACCAGGAGGGTACGGCTCGATTCCCGGTCATGGCACATGCCTGGGTTGTGGGTTTGATCCCAGTAAGGGGTGTGCAGAAGGCAGCCAATCAATTATTCCCTCCAATCATTAATATTTCCATCTCTTTCTTCATCTCCCTTCCTCTTTGAAATCAATTTTTTAAAAACATTTTTTAAAGGAAGTCATTCATGTAAATAGACACTGGCTAACAAAAAAATTGAAGGCAACATTTTTCCAACTACATCTAAGTGTCCCAACTGTCTCTATCACTAAGTTTCTCACTTTATTTTTCACAGAAGCTAGACAACATATAAAGAAACATTGACTAGAAATGAAAAATGTCATTGCCAGTACTTTAATATATTATTCAATAAAAACAAAACAAAAAAATCTGCTATGAATAATTTTATTAATGGTATCATAATCAATTAAGTTATTTTTCTTTAAAAACACAAAACACAGCTACTTAGAAATGTGGAATGTGTTAAGAGCCTAAAAAGAAATTTTTAAAGTCCCTAAGTACTTGAGGGACTCAATGCTTCCTGTTAACATTGCTTTGACATGGTAAAATCAAACTGTATATTTTTAAAAAGTAAAAAAAAATCACTATGTATTACCTTCATGAGGAAAAGCTAAATTTTTGAGGTGGGACTATAGCACTCAGTGCCACTAATGCATGAATTTGAGAATTATTAAACAATTTCTAAGACAGTTTGACCCATAACCAGCTATAAATCTTACTTTACAAGAATAACAGTTACTGTTACTATTGTAGAAAGGAGACTACCAATTTTGGAACAGTATCCATGCAACACCTTCAACTTATCCCCAAATGTCAATCAAATTTCCTAATTAGAGTTAGTACAGTGCTCTCCCTTAGCACAAAGTAAGCACTTAATGAATATAGTTAATGACAGTAACACTGAAAAAACAAACAACTGGGAAAGTTATTACTTAACCACCGGGTGTAAATATGAGTGTATTTTAGTCTCTGTTTAGCTTTCCATAGCTAACATATCACCAGAAAATCCTATCTTACAATTTAAATAACAAAGTTTTTAAGAAATAAGATCAAATGACCTAAAGAATTTTCTAAGAATCTAGGTAGACTGTAAAACAAAACTCATTTTTTCTCTCAACGTTGTACTTAAATACGGTAGTGCAGTAAGATTTGTCTACTTTTTAATTCGTTATGAGATAAAAAAGATGATATCAGAGAAAAGCAAACATGAAGGTGTCCACAGATGTTTATGTGCATTTTATTGTGGTTGCACATGATGCCAACCTAGAAGAGCTTAGACTCTAAAAAACTGTATCACAAGAATCAGTTATTTAAATCACAGAGTGATGGGACGTGATTCACAAGTGCCTTAAAAGTGAAGGAGAAGGGAACACATGCTTCAGGAATTTTTAAAACATGCTTACCAATGCAAAGTTACAATATTAAAGGAAAATAGCCCTTTTTCAATATGCCCTTACTTTTTAAGATCAACTATTACTAAACTTCAGAATTCTCAAGAAATTCTTTTGAAGCATTTATCTAGTCCTCAGATGTAACTAATATATCCATAAAAAATAATTTCTGCCAAAGGTAGGCAAAGGAAGTTGTTATTAAAGAACCCCGAGAGCTTCTGAGGAAGTTTGTAAAGTAGCACAGCTACCTGCATACCCTAAACCAGGGCTTTCAACCTCAGCACCACTAATATTGTGGGCAGGATAATTCTTTGATGGAGGGAGCTTTCCTGTATATTATAGGATGTTTACTTAGAAGCTTCCCTGAACTGTTTTCACAAGATGTCAACAGCATCCCCAGCTCCCACCCCACCCCAATTGTGATGATCAAAAAATGTCTCTGGGCATTTCCAAACCCCCCAGGAGTAATCCCCAGTTGAGAAATTAGCTCCTTAAACAAAAATACTTTATCTATACCATTAGGAAGGATGGTTCTCTTGAACTGAAATCTCAAGGCCATTCATGGCACAACATAAAAGAAGAAAACACCAGCCTAAATAGGCCAGATAAATGTTGAATCAACACTGGCAATCGATGGCTAAGACGTGGAAAGCCAGGGCTCCCTATATCTCATTGAGGATGTTTTTCTAGCCATTCTAGCACTTCACCTTAAAATTTATGGTTTTGTGCCTTATATTTTCTCTATAACCAAAGAAATAACTGAAGGATGAACAGGTACTGGGACCCTTAAACCAATGAACACATGAGTCAAAGAGATGTCCTACAAGGAAAAGAATTCAGAGACATTCTAGAACAGTAAATGAGAGCAAATGTTGTCCAAAGAATGTGAAAAATCAACATTTACTAAAAGAGGAATCTACAAATGTCTCACTTTATTTATAATCTATTCACTGTGAAGCTTCCTTATTCTTTTAAGTGGCAATAATAACAAAACCACATAGGAGTCCTTACCAATGAAGACCATAGTGCTAATAGCCAACATGTTACAATCATTGGAGGTTAGTTCTAACTTGATGGCAATTATGGGCAAAAAGTAAGCATCAAAAGAGAAAAATAAAGAAAAAAGACCAATTACAAAACAGGAAATGTGGAAAAGGACTGCCAGCACACACAGTCCTCTTCTATATTCTAAGAAAAAAAAAAAAAAAAAAAAAAAAAAAAAAAAAATTAGTTTTACCCACCAAAACACCAATTTCAGGCATCTACCACATAACTCTACCTGGAAATGGGGTTAAAAGATCTCAACTCCCACTAATGTAAGTGTCTAAGCAAGGATGCCCTCACATTGTGAATCCAATTATACCAGTCGCCTTTGGAAATGTATCCATAATCCACTATTATAATCTGATCCTTTTTAAATGACCAATAGACTTTTTATTCACTTTTAAACATTGCTGCTAATGGTAAAACTTTCCAAGATAAGTGATAAAAGAACTGAAAAATCAGAGCTTAGAATGAAAAGATACCTTTAACCACAGTATATAATAGCTATCATAAGTTAAAATCTAGAACTTACCCCAATGGCAGAAATCAGAAGAAACCACAAAGAGATTACTAGGATCCGCTAGATATTTACTGAAGAGTTTTCCGAATTCCTGTTCTTTTGACTCACTCAGAGCTCCAACCAGTACAGGAATAATGGTAAACTCATCCTTATGGCTTAAAGAAAACAGAAAAAAAAGTCACTTGAGAAGTATAAGAATAAAAATAGTTTCCAATGTCTTTGCACTAAAAAGTAGAACACATATTAATAGTAGCAAAGATAATACACATATTGTTGAATTCTTAAAATCTATAAATTAAATGTTTAAAGAAGACCACTTAAAAATGAGAGGTACAAAAAATGAGGTACAGAATACTCAAAATATCTATTTAAATTACAGAAATGTACAATACTTCTTTAGGTAACCAAATGTGCAATACTACCAGTTGAAATAACATCTTCAAAAATAAAAATAAGCCCATCAGACCATTACTAAGTCAAGTCTTCTCAACTACCCCTCAAAGCTGGAATCATCTGCCCAATACTTCCACAACTTTAAAAGAACATTAAACTCTTCCTCGCCTATTTTAGTTATTTCCTATTATTAATACCACCATTTCTAACATTTGTTCCATAAACCTGCCAAGTGAGACCTACAACATTTAATATTAGCTCCCATACGATTCCCCAATTACACTTACACCTATACTAATAAACAGATACAAGACAGCCTGGAAATATAACTCAATTTTACTGGCATCTAGGGTGAACACGGATTCCAAAGACGTACGTATTCATTTCCAACAGCAACAATAAAACACCACACCCACCCACAGTGTTTACAGCATAACCACAAATCCCTTTTTCACTCCACAGACCGACAGGTTCATGGAAAAGAAACAGAGCAAATTAATAAAGAAGAACTATGATGGGCTATAGAAATAGATATTTATCCAAAACTTCTTAAAATGTTCATTATAGTGCAATTTTAATTGCATATATTATTATTTATATTCTAAATGATCCCAGATTGGAGTTTTAGAAGCATGAAATCATGCTTGTCTGACTTGTAATGAACAAGATTTAAGAGGGTGGGAGAGCACCATTATATTAATGCTCTTTAATATGAATAGTCTGACACTTTACTGATGAAGGACAAGTAGAATTCATAAAAGTTCTTTAAAATACTAAGTTTAAATATTCCCAAAATAAATGTTATTCCAGCTTCATAAAGCTAAATTCAGGGCAACCAAGCGCCTCCCCCGTCATGAAGGCCCCCTTACCCTTGTCAATTGCGAAATAAACAGATCATACAGATCTCCAGTCCCTCTGCAATGCAGGGGCTTCTTGGACAGAGTCTGCATCTATGGAGTAAGAAAAAAAGAGGAAGCTGGCAGAGGAAGCTGCCATGGGGTATTTCTTTCTCTGACTATTACCAATTTGCTTAAAAACTGCGTGCGTGAACAGGGGCTCTTCAATAAGTTAAGAGTGATTATCATTTCAAAGAAAAGAACTGAGCTCTAGTGAAAATTCAAGAAGATTATTATGACCTGTTCTGTTCTAACTTCAAGTACCACCTACACAATAAATACACCAAGAAAATCAAAGTGTGGGCAAGTAATTACAACATGGTGTGAGAGCAGTTATATAGAGTATAAGAAACAGTAAATCAGAAGAAATGGGATCAAGTATTATCTATATCACATGCAAATGTTGAGAGTATGGCTAAATTACTAACCCAAAAATGTCCTTATCTGTAAAATGATCATAATTATAATACTAGTTTCATAAAACTGTGACAAAGTGAAGAATACTATAGGAGAAGTACTTTGTCAACAACAGTTGGCTCACTCTGCAGAAACAACACATATCTACCCTCCACAGGAGCCACCAAACATTCAATTAACCAGTTTGAGCTCACAAATCTACCTATAAAGGTAAAAGGCTCATACTACCTAAAAATCTAAGCCTTGAATCAAGATTCATCCATACACCTCTCTTTGCTTTCTCTTTTTAAACAACTATATGTTGTTCTCTATACTGCCAAAGGATGAATTAGAAAGAGCATTCGGCTTTGATATATAATATTCCCAGGTTTTAGAATCAATTTGTGAAGTTGGTCTTCCCTAGTGAAGGAGTACAAAAAACAATTTATAAAACTGAGTAAACTGTTAAAGACAACCATTTCATGCTCTAGAAATCAACCAAAGGCAAGAAATAAGATTAGAGTTTATTCGTTCAAAAAAAAAAAAAAAACCAAAAAAAAACAACCTGAATTTCTTAGGAAGAACAGCGGAAGCCTGGCACCTTAGGAGGAGTGTCCCCATGCCCTGCTCTACTCCACAAACATGGCAGTTCTGTTGGCAGTGAGAATTGGCAGCAGGTGCATAGGCCATGGAAAAAGTCAATAAAAATATTTTTAAGTATATAAAATACGTATTTAAAAAAGAGAGAGAATAAACTCTATTTTGCATACTTACATCTGTAACCTGTATATGGGCGAGAGATAAGTTTATTTTATGTGTCATTTTACAGCTTGATCAATATGTCTATGCTCACCAAATAGTACACATTAGAAAAGTTCATTTTGTTGCATGTCAGTTATAACTATACCGAAATAAAGCCTTAAAAAGTGCTTCCAAATGAAGACCTACATATCCCTGCCTTGTTAGAAAAGTAAAATGTCAAACCTAGTAGTATGTGGGCTCTTCTAACCTCATCAGTTCAGCAGCCTCGTCGGTACTTGAGTTCTGGCTGGAAAAGAATTCAGAGCCAAGACTCAAGCTATACGAGAAAGTTGATTTAGAAAGTCACAGAGGTAGAAGTGAGCTGTAGAAGAAATGGGCTCAGGAAACAAGTTACAGAGACAGAAGACGGGCCCTTGGAACTTAGGAGAGAAAAGGGAAAAGGTAGCATGCCTGGGGGAAGAGGTGGCCAGTGTTTTTATTTAATTAGCGGTACACAATTTAAATATTAAAAGTGATGGCATTTTTAACTAGATGACGTGCTGTATTCAAATAGTTATTTGCTTATTCTTCTTCTGGAATTAATTTGGATATTTGTCCCCTGAAAAACATTAATATGAGAATTTTTTTCTTTATACAAATCCTTCCAATTTCCTAAAGATTTTACAAGTAGTCCAGAGAATTAAACAAATCATAACAGATACAGGAAGAAGACAATTTATCCTTAACCCTAAAGGTGCTAAAAGCTGTTACCACAATAAAACGATTATATGATTTATTCTCCTTTCCTCTTTTAGACAGAAAATAATCACAGAAGAAAAAAAGGATAAAACATATGGTGATAAAAAATAAATGCCTTGCCGAAACCGGTTTGGCTCAGTGGATAGAGTATCGGTCTGTGGACTGAAGGGTCCCGGGTTCGATTCCAGTCAGGGGCATGTGCTTTGGTTATGGGCACACCCCCATAGGAGGCAACTGATCAATGATTCTCTCATCGATGTTTCTAGCTCTCTGCCCCTCTCTCTTCCTCTCTGTAAAAAATCAATAAAATATATATTTTTAAAAATAAATAAATAAATAGATAAATAAATAAATGCCTTACACTAACTTTTATTCATCTTATTCATGGTTATAGAAACTGAAATTGTTCCATTACAACAAACAAAATGTTTTAGCTATATTCTAGGATTCTCTATGCTCTATAATTCTAAGTAATCTCTTACTGATGTGCAGGTAATATTCAAAGCATATATAAAAAAGAAAAACTCAGAAACAAAGAAAATCCATATCTGTTCTAAAATCTCAGTAAATAGCAATAAAAAATATTTAACTGCAAGACATATACAGAAATACACAAATAACCATAAGTATAAAAGTCACAGAATAAGAACACATTTGAAAATGGCACTGTTCCTGTGGCTGTCATTCAAGCTGGACAGAGGTAGAAAATCTCAGACTTCTTTCCATGTCCAGAGACAAGCCATTCCCCTCTGTTAAAGATGACCTATTCAAGAACACATCTTACTTTTCTCTGGCATTTCCAATATCTGAAGACCTCAATCGAGGCCACAATCAGAAAGGAAAGTAAAATCTTTAGACTTAGTACAACCTAAGCTATAATAAAGGTTAGGGTGGGGTGTAAGTGAATCAAAAAAATCAAAAAGTTGGAATGGCAATATGGCAGCCTAGAATTGGGAAAGAGGAGTGGGAATTCTGCAAGTCTGCTGTGCAATCTTCAGAAGGAACTGCTTGTAAGACTGTCCTTGGTGACATCTGTGAACTTGACTTTTAAAGTTCCTTATGTGATTAAGGCTGTTTGCCTAGATTGTTTATAAAAATGTCATTATAGCTAACACCTGCTTTCCTTCTGGGAGTCTGGAATTGCAGTAATTGTGCTTAGTTATACTGGCAGCGAGTGCCTACTTAACCAGCTCCCGATAAAAAACCTGAATTTAAAAATAAATAAAACCTGATTTTGAATCTTTTTAACAAGATGTTATTAAATTTTTTTAAAGGTACAGAGAAAGGAAGAGGGAGACAAAGAGAGACATCAATCGGCTGCTTCCTGCAGGCCCCTGACAGGGGATTGAGCCTGCCACTGGGGCACGTGCCCTGACTGGAAATCAAACCTGCAACCTCTTGGTGCATGGGACAACATCCAACCAACTGAGCCACGTCAGCCAGGAATGGTTTTAAATCTTAAAAGCAGCTGGCCTGGCCATAAACATTATATACATGTTACACCGCTGGAGAAAGCACATGCCATTCAGCCCACCCCTATGAAAGGGAGGAACTTTGGAAGCCTGCACCTGGCCTCCTCCAGATTCTGCTTAATTCTGATTTCTTCCCTTGCTGGTATATCTTTTCTAATAAACCATAATCAGGATATAACTGTGAATTGGTCTAGTGAGTCTTCAAATGTGAGGCTGGCTGTAGAACTCTTGGAACAGGTGTTAAAGGCAAAATGAAATAAAGGAATCATAATGAGAAGCATTTTAGAGAGCCCTATAAAAAGTTTCTCTCATTTTTTCCTCAATCAAATTTACTTTCAGACCACAGTAAAATATATCCAGACTTTATGCAGAATACTTTCAGTGTGAGAAAGAACAGACTAAAAAGATTTAGAAAACATCAAGCAGAGATAAAGAACTGGGGAGAGAGAACAGGGGGAATAAGGTAAGCTGGCTATCAATAATAACTAAAATTACTGTTTAAATTATTAAAAACTAGAGGCCCAGTGCACAAAATTCATGCATGAGAGGGTGTGTCCCTCAGCCCACAACTGCCTGCTTAGGCCCAATCCCAGTACAGGCAGACAGACATCCCTCTCACAATCCAGGACTACTGGCTACCAAACACTCGCCTGCCTGCCTGTTTGGTTGCCCCTAACCGCTTCTGCCTGCCAGCCTGATCACCCCCTAACCACTACCTGACAGCCTGATCAACACCTAATTGCTCCCCTACCAGCCTGATTGCCCTTAACTTGCCATTCCCTGCCAGTCTGGTCACCTCTAACTGCCCTCCCCTGCTGGCCCAATCACCCCTAACTGCCCTCCCTTGCCTGCCTGTTTGCCCACAGGATTCTAAGAAATAAACATAACATATTGCTTTAACAATTTCTAAAGAGTTATAATATATTAAAACACAATTAACTTAAAATTAAACTGCTTATAATTTAATATCACAATGGTTTTTAGAAACTTCTCCAGATTTATGAAGGTCCTCAGAGTTATCCTTGTGAACAGATTATCAGTAACATAAGACCAAGAGAAGTACGTAAACAATACTTTGATAACAAAATTAAGCATGGAAATGATCCAGAAAGACTGGACTAAAACCAACGAGACAAAACTACACATAAGTAATTGAGGAGATATATATATATATATAGTTAAAAAGAAACCAACCACAATGGTATAAGAGGATAAAATAATCTAGTTTAACAATAGGAAAAACCTTGGGTTTTGGCTGTCCACAGTACAAAAAAATGTTAATGTAACCTCAAACGTCAAAAATGCAATTAACTAACAAATATTTACTGAGAACCTAAACTGCACCATAAATTTTACTAAGAGAATACAGTGATGACATCCCAAGAAGGAAAAATCTCACCATATTTAAAACTAGTCAAACTATACGTGGAATATTAAGTCCATATAAAGAAATAGTTGAAAATGAGAGAAATGGGACCTATAAAAGGAAGACTTTTTTTTTTTTTTTTGAATGCTGACCTAAAAGAAAGCTCTTAAAACAAAATTATTTCATCATACCAAGATAAATTAATGACTGTATATGACTGGCATTGTGTTAGATCCTGAGATATAAGTGGAGAACAAATTATATATTGTCCCTATACTCAACCTACTGATAGTCTATTGAGTACTCTATCACTGGGAGACCTTTAGCAGATACCAAATAATAATCTAACAAGCATATTATGAAAGAGATTCATGTACTTTGTGTAAAACTGAAATAAATGACCTCCAATATTGATCCCCTATCTAAAAGGTTGTTAGTACTTATTGTATCATACCATAAAAGAATACAATTGCTATTTTAAGATAAATAACTACCTAATGAGTCAAATAACAGGCAAACCAATAAATACACACCCACACCGATACCCATACCCCACGGGGGGGGGGTGGGGGGGTGGCAGGGTTATATTTCCCCCTAATAAAACAAACAATTCAATTCACATGTTCAGCTTTCAGAGGCAAACTATTCAAAAGCCAACTTCAATCCACATTAAGAAAATCCAACCTCAAATATTTATCTCATTTCAAATAAAAAAATATTTTCCAGAACTGTGTCAGAATACATGTGTATTATTTTAAGCCCCACCCAACATTTTTAATCTCCTTACCCTAATGATTATCTTACCATAGTTAAAATAATTCCAAAGAAATTAATACCTATGATTTCTTTGGGATTTCTTATATTAATCAATATACCTTTCCATGGCTTTAGCTGTATAAGGCAAATGCATTTCAATACTGTGTTCATCTTCATCTGTCTGCAGAGACATGCGTTCAAACATTCCTGTCTTCCATAGTTCTCCATAAACTAGAGGTATCAAAATATAGTAAAACAAATACATTAATGTATATCCTTATCCTGTGAGACTCCACCCAGTAATACAAAACTACATGCTTTGGCAAGAGGTAAAAGCACCACATAATAATCTTCTTCATTTTTTTCCCCTTCTATTTTTGTTTTTAAAAAAGAAGAGGCTTGCTTTTTACATATCAGACAAATAAATAATATATGTAATAACTTACTCAGCATTTCTATGATACATAGTTATATAAGTAATTATTTAAATTTTCATCAGTTCCTTTCATTATAACAAAAATCACCTCCAGGTATAAGCCTTTCCTCAACTTTAATCAGTACATGCTAATAAGATAATAACTGATTAGAACTCCTACTGAAATATGGAAAAATCACTGGTCTACTTACTTACAAAGTTAAAAATACAGTTTTTGTGCTTTGCTTTGTTTTTTAATAAAATGTATAGGATTATTATTTCACACATCAGGTCTGGCCATAGTTAAGAACAGAAAATTCCCACAAAAAATGCTATTTTCCTCAAAATTAAAAATAAAGCTTATGGTATAAATCAGAACATAAATTTACCACAGTATCATCCCATAAATAATATTAAAATGATCTAGTAATTCAGAACTTTCTGATGAATTATATTTAGCACTGAATATTTTATAGCAAGAAATGAAATTTAATTAATATGTAAAAAATAATATGAGTGTTTTTGTCTTATAGAACTGAACCAACATTTTTTTATTATTATTGATTTCAGAGAGGAAGGGGGAGGGAGGGAGCAGGAGAGAAAGAGGGAGACATCAATAATGAGAGAGAATCATTGATTGACTGCCTCCTGCATGCTCCCTACTGGGGATTGAGCCCACAATCTGGGCATGTGTGCTTGTCCAGAATCGAAACAGGGACCCTTCAGTCCATAGGCCGAAGCACTACCTGGCTAGGGCCTGAACCAACATTTTTATAACTACATCAGAAAAAGGGTTTATCAATATCAAAATATATCTGATTAAAAATATTCCATTCTTTCTTTGGCAGGCTATCCAATACCAAAATTTTCTGAATGCCACAACAAAGTTTTAAAAATAAAGCACGTCGCCGGGACTGGTTTGGCTCAATGGATAGAGCGTCGGCTTGGGGACTGAAGGGTCCCAGGTTCGATTCCGGTCAAGGGCATGTGCCATGGTTGCGGGCATATCCCCAGTAGGGGGTGTGCAAGAGGCAGCTGATTGATGACTCTCTCTCATTGATGTTTCTAACTCTCTATCCTCTCACTTCCTCTCTGTACAAAATCAATAAAATATATTAAAAAAAGAAGAAAAAAAAAGTATGTCCCCTAAAAACCTAGGGAGTATGGCTAGCAATATTTCAGCTTTATTAATAAGATATATTTTAACAAATTGCTAATTCTCCAGGACACTTAAAATCCCAAATTATGGAAATTTAGGACTAAATACCTGGGGAAAAAAGAGGTGATCATTTTCCTTTGTAAATGGTTTCTTTCCCTCTACATTCGTATATTTTGTAAAATTTCTTGAAATAAGCACTCAACATACTTAAAATATAATTTGATGAACTGTAAAGATACATACCAAGTCCATAAAGGTAGTTACTAGTGGAAATATAAATTGAGTTCAGATGAGGGGGAAATTCTGAGTAAATTTTGAATGATGAGTATTTGTAACACTATTTTCTATACTATTCTGTATTTTTTAAATTATGCTCTCCCACCTTCCAAAACTACTATTCAAAGTCAGTAAGTTTTACTTTATACTTTTACGTAAGTATAAAGTTTTACTTTATACTTACATCCCATACTTAAAATAATGCCCAAGTAAATTAAAAGCTGTTTAAAAGCTTTATGATTTCTATATACTTACTCTTTTGATCAATACGAAGGTCATACAGAGGTGTTCTGTAAATATCCACACTGGAAAGTGCACATCGAGAGAGGGGCACATGATGAGAAGGCCCAAGGATGAAAATTCTCCGGCTAGGAAATACATAACAAAAATCACAGATCAATTGCATTTCTACACAAACCTTATAAATAAAAGGGAAAAAATGAATACATTTTTAAAATTACATGTAGTACTGTTTGCCTTAATTGGTTTCATTGCCTACTCTTAGGCACTAAATTGTGTTTCCCTAAAATTCGTGTGTTGAAATCTCAGCCCCAAGTACCTCAGCATGTAGCTGTATTTGAAAATAAGGTATTTAAGGGGTTATTAAGTTAAAATAAAGCCATTAGGGGGAGGCTTGACTCAAGAATGACTGGTGTCCTTATAAGAAGAGGAAGAGACAGCAGGGGGACACAGTACAGAGAGGTGACCACATGGAGAGCTGTCAAGAGGGCACCCATCTGCAAGCCAAGGAAAAGGCCTCAGGAGAACCACCCTGCCAGGACCTCGATCTCAAACTTCCAGCCTCCAGAACTTGGGTGAATAAACGACTGTGGTTTCAGCTGCCTAGTTTGTGTATGTTGTTATGGCAGCCCTAGCAAACTAATATATCTACGAATGGTCTGCTCCTCCGTTAATTAAGCTCATTTCTTTGTCTTTTTGTTGGAAGACCTTTATTTTTTTGTTGTTGTTGTTGTTATTGTTGAAAGGCCTTCAACACCTGGAAATACCAGTTACTAATTTTCCACAGTAAACCAACCTGTTATGCTTAAAATCACCTCTGTATTCAGAAAGGCTAGAAAGTTTTCAATAACTACAATAACTGAATTTTAAACATTTCAGCTATTAACTAAAATCTCAAAATTCTAACACATTCTAAATTTGCCTTCTAAGGTCTACCACAGTTTTATTAAAAATACATAATAGTATAGATTCTAAAAACTCATGAAAAATATCATTACAAAGAAGCATTTTGATAAAGCTATTTTCACGTCTTCCATGGGAGAGAGAAAAAGGACATCTTGTTGAGAAGAATTCTGCATAATGAGCTTTCTCTGTTTCCATTTCAGTAGAAGTCATTCTCGAAAACAAAGAAACTTGATTATGTGTTATTTGCACTGTAGGCTAAAGAAAAGAAATGTGCTAAAATGTAACTAAGTCTTTACAATCCTTTTATCTTGACATCAGGAGTAAAATTAACTTCCTTACATTTTATTTCCAACATCCCTACAATCTAAATTCCAAAACTATCCATTTTCTCTTTTCTCCTAGAATCATAAGAACAAAACTTATAAAAACACCCCACATTCACACACAAACTTACAGACAAAAAAAAAAAATTCTGAGAAAGAAGGGAATATATAATTGCCTAAATACCTAGAAAATTAAGGACTACTCATTGCTCAATTAATGGACAATGAATGACACAGAAGCTTGTTATTTCATGTCAAAAACTTGCAATCCAAAGAATGCCCCGGCTGATAATGCTTCTTGTCATCACCATTATGATCAACTCATTAACCATTTCAGAAAAAAAAAAAAAGATCAAATCTATTAATTCCTAATTGAAGAAAAGAAATACCACTATGTTCTTCTATCTTAACAGCACATAAATATCACCATGATTTTCTTAACAGCTAATGTTCGACATAGACAATGATAACTGAATATTTCAGTGACTTATCTAAAGACAGTATTTATATGAACAAGAATCAAGTATGAAAAGAGGGCATTTTTAAGTTTGAGGAATACATTTCAATGAAAAGAGAGAGGAGAGGGACAGAATATTTAAAATCAGAACACTCGTGGGAAATCCAGGGTAATTAAAATATGAAAAGACTTTAAAAATATCAATCTAAACTTAAGGTATAAATACTTCTCATAAGTAAGTGTAATAAGGTTCTCACTGTGGCCAAAAGACCCACGGCCAGCTGGGGAAGCCTAACTGCTCCTCTGAGACTGACTCCTCACCTTGTTTGCCGTTCTGTGAGACCCCCACCCGCTGAAAAGATTAAGACTGCTGGGGGAAGAACTGTCTCCAGTCTGAATTAACCAACTGTGTACCCAACAGCTTCTTTCCTGTTTAGCAGAATCTCACCCTAATGTGGAGTTCCACATTTGGTTAAGAGATAATAGGGAAAAAAGAGGCTGAGGTTCCATCAACATAAAGCCCTTAAAAGTGACATATCCAAAAACAAACAAAAAGAGACTAGATATTATTGAAGAAAAAAAAAAGAATGCACAATAAACGGGTAGTAATTGCAAAATGGGTCTCTGTTAGCCATCTGCTAACAAAAAGAATATTAATAGGGTAAGTAAAAAGATAATGCTTTTTTTTTTCTTGCTAGATTGCAAGATCCAGGAACAATGAGGCCATATGAATATTTTGGAGAGAAAGGAGTACTGCATTAATAGCAATGTCAGTTACTCTACATTTAATAAACTGCAAGGTGCTTTGTCTTTAAAGAACTTTTTAATATTACCATGTCATCACAGTTGTGACATATAAAAGAAACCTTTAATATGAAAAAATGGGGGGTGAGGGGAATCGGTAAGCATTCTCTGAGAAATACATGTCGTTCACATACAGTACCTCCAGAGAACTGACTTTATGGAGTAACTGACTTCTATGAGTGCCATCTGTGCATGAAATATATGTTACCTGAGTGACTGCCCTTATAAATATTCATCTACTTATTCTAAATAATGTAACACAAGTAATTTTTGAAAGGTGTTTCATGGCAAGTGCAGATATTTTAGCTAAAAAATAAAATGTCGTGTGACCCCAAATAAGATTCCTTTTTGTTCTTTTTCTGCCATGCAAGACTTTCTGAAAGATCTGAATCATGTTACTATGTATTATATGTCCTAAGTTTATTTGTAATTAAAGTTTTAGTAAAAGGAAAAGACTTTGTAACTATAAATATGAAAATAACTAAACGTATCATTTTTTAAATTTCTTTTAACAGTCAGCCAGAGTGCTATTTTTCAAACATAAATTGGGTCCTATCACTCTCCTGCTTTAAAAAAAAAAAAAGTTTTTCCATGGCCAGAGGATACTAGTAAAATACAAAATCCTTAAAATGGGTTCATTCTAAAGTCTCACATAAACTGGCCCCTTTCTGTATTACTCTTCCCTTTGATCACAATACTTTATGTACCCTGGTCTTCCTCAAGTTCCTTGATGACACAAACAGCCTTGCCTACTTCAAAGCCTTCACACATTGCTTTTGCTTGGCTTAAAAAACATTTCCTCAGAGACACCTTCCCCGTGACCTAATCCATAGACCTTACCCACAACCTAAATCCAATCACCCTGCATCACAGCAGTGCTCAAAGGGTGAACCTTTAAAATCAAAACCATTTTCATAATAATACAAGGAAGCTGTGTGCCTTCTACACCGAGATGACATCTGCACTAAAAAGTGAGGCTGGGTAAGCGGATGGCACAACAGAATTACAATCGAGGTAATGGAACCAAAATATACTAGGAGTCATATGTTCTTCACCCACACCAAGTTTTGTGGGATTCTTATTTTTCTTTTCATTTTTTATTAAGGTATTACACATGTACATATCTTACCATTGCCCTCACCCCCCAGTGTTTTGCATCCATTGGTTATGCTTATATGCATGCATACAAGTCCTTCAGTTGATCTCTTATCTCCCCCAGATCTCCCTAACCTTCCCGCTATAATTTGACATTGTTTGATGCTTTACTTCCTCTTATCTATCTTTTTATTCATCAGTTTATAATGTTCTTTATTATCCATAAATGAGTGAAATCATGTATTTTTCTCTCACTGACTGGCTTATTTCACTAGGCAGATGTTCTCTAATTCCATCCAGGTTGCTGCAAATGATAAGAATTCCTTCTTTTTTATGGCAGCATAGTATTCCATTGTGTAGATGTAGCATAATTTTCTGATTCAGTCATCTGTTGATGGGCACCTAGGCTGTTTCCAAATCTTAGCTATTATATTATAAATTGTGCTGCTATGAACATAGGGGTGCATATATCCTTTCTGATTGGTGTTTCCAGTTTCTTAGGATATATTCCTAGGAGTAGGATTACTGGGTCTAATGGGAGTTCCATTTTTAGTTTTTTGAGGCAACTCCATACTGGGGAAGCCTAACTCCTCATCAGCAGTGCACAAGGGTTCCTTTTTCTCCGCAACCTCGCCAACATTTGTCATTTGTTGATTAGTTGATGACAGCCATTCTGAGAGGTGTGAGATGGTACTGCATTGTTGTTTTGATTTGCATCTCTCGTATAGTGACTTGGAGCATGTTTTCATGTGTCTCTTGGCCTTCCTTCTGTCTTCTTTCTAAAAGATTCTATTTAGGTCCGTTGCCCATTTTTTTATTGGATCATTTATCTTCCTTTTATTAAGTTGTATAAGCTGTTTATAGATGATGAAGGTTAAACCTTTATCAGTGATAACATTTACAAATATGTTCTCCCATACAGTGGGCTTTCTTGTTGTTTTGTTGGTGATTTCTTTTGCTGTAAAAAAGCTTTTTATTTTGATGTAGTCCCATTTGTTTATTTTCTCTTTAGCATCCATTGACCTAGGAGTAGTATCAGTGAAGTTCTTTCAGCTTATGTCTGATATTTTGCTGCTTGTGGATGCCTCTATTATTTTTATGGTTTCCTGTCTTATATTTAAGTACTGTATCCATTTTGAGTTTATTTTTGTGTATGGTGTAAGTTGGTGAACTAGTTTCATTTTTTTTTTTTTTTGCATGTATTATCCAATTTTCCCAACACCATTTATTGAAGAGACTGCCTTGACTCCATTGTATGTTCATGCCTCCTTTGTCAAATATTAATTGAGCATAGTGGCTTAGGTTGATATCTGGATTTTCAATTCTATTCCACTTGTCTATATGTCTGTTCTTATGCAAGAACCAGGCTGTTTTGAGAACAGTGGCTTTGTAATACAGCTTGAAATCTGGCATTGAGATCCCTCCTACTTTATTCTTCTTTCTCAGGATTGCTGTGGCTATTTGGGGTCTTTTTTTATTCCAGATAAATTTTTGGAGAGTTCTTTCTATTTCTGTGAAATATGCTGTTGGTACTTTAATGGGGAGTGCATTGAATCTATAGATTGCTTTGGGTAGTATGGACATTTTAATTATGTAGATTTTACCCATCCATGAACATGATATGTTCTCCCATCTGTTTACATCTTCCTCTATCTCTTTTTCCAGTGTCCTGTAGTTTTCCGCGTATAGGTCTTTTACCTCCTTGGTTAAGTTTATTCCTAGGTATCTTAATTTTTTTGGTGCGATGGTTGTGGGATTTTTTCTTAAGGCCAGTTTCACTTAATTTCATTAAGTCTTGAAATTTGAATACAATTTTATAAAAATATTCTGTATGAAAAAATACATTCAATTTGTGATGCTACATGCTTAAAGCACTGCTGCTGCATACAGAGTATGTCTCAGGGAAAAGCATTAGTGTGACTGAGTTGTGAGCTAGACAAATTATGATTATTTCAATTTAGATAGTTGGCAGAAATTTTCTAAGAAGATGATCAAAATGAGCTTGCCATTTCAAAGAAAAAATTTGACATGTTTGTTGCCAATGATAAAATTGAAGCTTTTAAGTGAAAATTAGACTTCTGCAAAACTTCCATCCCTGTGAAGTTGACAGTTTCCCAAGAGTTAGAAGATTTTTCTGATGAAACTGGTGGTAACATGAACAAATGTGATTTTTTTGACATTGAATAATAAATGTCAACATTTGAAAGATCTGCATAACTCAATAAACAAATATTCTATGCAAGATGTTGCAAAAAAATCATGTAAAGGTAAAAGATCCCTTCAAAGAGCAGGAGAGTACAAAGATGATCTGATTTACATGTAGAAAATGGACTAGTGTGAAAAGAATGGAAGCTAATAGAATAGAATTTAACCTTCGCTGTTGAACTGTTCTTTATTATTCCTCTACTGGCGGCCTGGGGCACAAAATTTGTACATGGGGGAGAGGGCGGGGAGAATCCCTCAGCCCAGACTGTACCCTCTCCAATCTGGGAACCCTAGAGGGATGTTCAACTGCCCATTTACAGGGATCGGGCCATGGGGATGTGGCCAGCCTGGGTAAGAGCTGATGGCTGTTTGCAGGCTGGCCAAGCCCCCCAGGGAGGACCCTCACCCCATGGGGGTGTGGCCAGGCTGGGTAAGAGGCTTTATTTTTCTTTTCTTTTCTTTCCTTTTTAGCGCCTCCTTGAGCAGAGGCCAGTGCCAGCTGGAAGCAGGTATCTGGGATTTATTTACCTTCTTTAATTGAAACTTTGTAGCCTTCACTGGAGGCCATGGCCAGCCAGAGCTGGAGGGAAGGTTGGCTTCCTCCATCGCCAGGGGCAACTCAAGCCTCCTGCTCTCTCCAGCTCTGTGGCTACTGCTAATCTTAGTTGGGTTAATTTGCATACCCACTCCTGATTGGCTGGTGGGTGTACCAGAGTGATGGTTAATTTGCATGTTTCCCTTTTATTAGTGTACATACTTCACATAAATCCCAAAAGAATGTTTATCTTGTTTTCTCAAAGGACTCTGAAGATATTGCAAATCTCAGTGAGGGGTTTTCTCAAACGAATACTAATATGGCTGTCCATTATTATTTTTAACACTCAGACTTTCTATTTATTTATTCAGAATTCAATTATTATGTATTAATTACAAAAATAAGCTGATTACATCACCATCTACCATTTGCCTCACTTTTTTACTGATCTCCATCATCTTCTTAGTCCTTCATCCTCATCACTTTTTTTTTTTTAAATATATTTTAATGATTTTGTACAGAGAGGAAGGGAGAGAGATAGAGAGTTAGAAACATCGATGAGAAAGAGTCATCGATCAGCTGCCTCTTGCACACCCCCTACTGGGGATATGCCCACAATCACGGTACATGCCCTTGACCGGAATTGAACCTGGGACCCTTCAGTCCCCAAGCCGACGCTCTATCCACTGAGCCAAACCGATCTTGGCCTCATCACTTTTTTTTAAAATATATTTTATTGATTTTTCACAGAGAGGAAGGGAGAGGGATAGAGAGCTAGAAACATCTATGAGAGAGATACATCGACCAGCTGCCTCCTGCACACCCCCCACCGGGGATGTGCCCGCAACCAATGTACATACCCTTGACCGGAATCGAACCCGGGACTTTTCAGTCCACAGACTGACGCTCTATCCACTGAGCCAAACTGGTTTCGGCATCCTCATCACTTTTTATTATTTTTTTCCTTCCATTCTCATTTTCAATCAATCTATTAACACAAACTTTCTACTTCTACCAATACTAGCTCCAAATATCTCTAATGTATTCTAAGGACAAATTTAATTCAGGAGTACCCTTCCAGCACATATCATCATAAATAAAGATTCTTCCAAATAGAAAAATATTTGGAAAAGCTGTTACTAACCTTGAGGTAGATTGTTCACAGATTCAGGATCAAATAAAGAAAACTTAGAAAATCTTTACAATCTAACTTCTATTTGTTCTTATTCATGAAATAATTTTGCTAAAATTGCATATTAAACATGTATCAAGAAATATCAAAATGAGGCAGGGCTAACCAAAATCTCATCAATTTGGCAACATCATTTTATTTATTATTTAAAACTTAATAAAATTAATATTCAACAATGTGCAGAACACACTACACAGAAACAAAAAAGAGCAGTTTTGTTTTAAAAACTGAAAAAATTGCTCAAAGGAAAACAGAGTAGGCTGTGGGTGAGACTTGTTTCTTAAACTCTTGCTGTGAATTACTTCTTTTGAATGATTATGCTTCCATCTCTACTAGTAGAGATGTACTGCTATTACTACTATTGCTACTAACAACATGAAATAAAATTAAGATGACTAATTTTATCTATTATGAAACAACTAGCAATACAGATTGGACCCTGATACTGGTTCATATGTAGTAAATTAACTATTTAAATAAAATGGTGGTCAGAAAATTCAGTAATTTTGATGGCGATTTTCAGGAGAAATTTTTTAAAGTTCACATGTTTCTCATTTTAGAGAAATATATACCACCTCATTATACCTCTACAACAGTATACTACTCAGTCACAATTTGCCAGAAAGATCTTTATAAAGCTAATTTCAGAGCTGTCTTTAAATTATTAAATACTTATATCCTTCAAACATATGAAATATGATTTCCAATTCTAAAATAATTCAGATAACCTTATCCTGCCAATGAGAAATTATTCTTCTTATAAGAATTGCAATAAAGAATTTTAAATTACAAATGATTAAAGTAGAATAAAGGGCTTTGGTTTTCTTAAAAATGCTCATCTCCAGGTTTTCCCAAATGAAATTTTTTAAACCAGCATATTTAATAGTGTTCCTGGAACCAATTCCAAAGTACTTGGGGGTGGGGGGTGCTTCCCACACCTCCAACAAGCAATTCTTGAACACTCTCCCTGGAGACAGCATCAGATTTCACAGGTTATACATTCGGTCCTACAAGACTGCTCCCCAAACCCTCACTTCAGATGCCAGGCTTCTGACCTGTACTTCTAACCAGCTGGCTATAAATCAGATGTCCCCATGACCCCTTCCTTAGCTTCAATTAATTTGCTAGAGCAGCTCACAGAGCTCAGAGAAACATTTTAGTTACAAAAACCACTGGTTTATTATAAGCAGATGTAACCAGGAACCGCCAGTTAGAAGAGATGCACAGGGTAAGGTCTGGGGAAAGGGAGTGGAACCTCCATGCCCTCCCCAGAGTGCCACTCTCCCCTGGATCTTTCCAACGTAGAAGCTCTCTCAACCCTGTCCTTCAGGATTCATAGAGGCTTCACTACATAGCTGTGATTGACTGAATCATTGGGCACTGGCGACTGATTCAACCTCCAGGCCCTCCTCACTCCCCAGAGGTCAGGAGTGGGACTGGAAAGTTCCCACTCTCTAATCATAATTGGTTCTCCTGGCAACCAGCCCCTATCTTTAGGTGGGATCCCAAAGCCACCTCATTATACCTCTATAACAGGAGGTACTTTTATCATATCGAACATTTAGGTGATTCCAAGGGTTTGGGGACCTGTGTGAGAGTCAGGAACTGTGGACTAAGCATAAGACCAAATATACATGAGAAATACATTTTGTATAAATCACTATATCACACTAACCTTCTAACATTTCCATAATTGAACATTTTACCCACCAAAGGGAAGGTAAAAACTAAAGGTTCAGAGAATAGAAATAGTATTAGAGCTTTCTAAAACCTGTAAAAGATACAGTCAAACTCATAAAAAGTCAAATTCTTAATGAAATAGAGTATATAATAACAATAAGTATGCAAAACAAATTACTTCAGTGACAAAGCAATTACACTTCCCAACATTATCCCATAACAAATTCTTCTCTATATTACTTACGTAATAGATGGGTCCACTTGTTTGTAAGCATGAGCAGCACAAGACCCACAGTAAGTATATCCTGCATGGCTACAAAACAAAAATGTTTTAAACTTAATCATCAGATTCAAAAATCAAGATATTCTGGAAAAAACTTTTGAAAAAATATATAATAATTATGATAAACATAACAAATATATAATTTAAAAAGCAATGTAAGTAATAATGCAACTTTGAAGCAATAACAGTGAACACATAATTGTGCTGTGTTCCAGCTTTAAATTTTAAAAAGTATCGAATAATTTTTGGGGTCAGAAGAAAGGTTCGATTTGGAAATAACCAAAGCTTACTTGAAGTGGCTAATGTAACATTAATGCTGTATGAGATTTTAACATTTCTTTTTAATACAACTAACAGTATTACATAACAATAAGACCAAGAACAAGTTAAATCAGATCAAAACAAATAACCTCCAACTAACAATTCAATTCCCTGTGTCTTCAGTGTTGAGAACTGCCTTAGGCCCTAGCTGGTTTGTCTCAGTGGATAGAGCGGCAGCCTGTAAACTGAAGGGTCCCGGGTTCGATTCTAGTCAAAGGCACATGCCCAGGTTGCTAGATCCTTAGGAGGGGGCATGCAGGAGGCAGCCTATCAATATCAATGATTTTCTCTCATCATTAATGGTTTTCTCTCTCTCCCTCTTCCTTCCTGTCTGAAATCAATAAAATTTGCTTTTAGAGAGAGAATTGACTTGGCCTTCTGTGTATTATGCCTTTCATTTTCTCTCTCCATTATACACTCTTATCCTCTGATCTCAGCATCAGATTAGATTTCTTATCACCTACTTGCGGTCCTGTGTACAAAATTCATGCAATGGGGGAGGGGGGTGTCCCTCAGCCCAGCCTGCCCCCTCTCACATACTGGGAGCCCTCAGGGGATGTCCTACAGATGGCTGAGGTCCACTCCATGGACAGTCTGGCCTCCCTTTGAGGGAGGAGACCAGGCTGATCAGGGGAAGGTGCCAGCCCATCACCCCGCTGCTGCAGCCACTGCAAGTCACCACAGCCACTAAGGTGTTTTCATCATGAACTCCAGTCCCTTCACCAAGAAAAAATGACAACTTTCTTTAGGCATTTCAAGATGTATCTTCCATAGGATATGACATTTCTTTCTTTCTTTCTTTCTTTCTTTCTTTCTTTCTTTCTTTCTTTCTTTCTTTCTTTCTTTTTTTATCCTCACCTGAGGATATGTTTCCATTGATTTTTAGAGAATGTGGAAGAGAAAGGGAAAGACAGAGAGAAACATCCAAGTGAGAGGAACACTTTGATTGGTTGCCTCCTGCATGAGTCCTGACCTGGGCCCCAGCCAGGGAAGAGGCTGAAACCTAGGTACCCATCCTTGATCAGAAGTGATCCCAGACTCTGTGGTCAGCAGGCTGAGGCATTATCCACTGAGCCAAACTGGCTAGGGCACGATATGACATTTCTTAGCCCTCCAGCAGTGGACCTTTGTGTTTTTTCTCCAGAAGTGTCGTGGAAAAACATAGGTCACCTTTTTGGATTCTTATTACCCAAGTTACCAAGAACATTACCAGTGGCATACAAGGAGCTCAGCCAATGAGTGGTCAGAAAAGGTGTTTCCTCTGTAGTTCACACTGATTGCCAGCTCAGCCCTTGCACAGGCCTAAAGCTTCAGGGCCTGGGCAGGGCCTTTCCTCCCCACCCCCACCCTGCTCCCTCCCATCGCTGGCTCGGCCCCTGGGCTCTGATTGCAGGCTCAGCCCTACCCAGGAGCCCCTGGCTCAGGCCCATCCCAGGCTGCTCAGGGCCTATCTCAGAGTGACCTGAGTGACAAGAATGTTCCTGGGACCCAGGCCGCTGACAGCCTACGTATGCAAATTAACCACCATCTTTGTTGGGTTAATGTGCCTACTCACTCTGATTGGCTGTGGACATTTGTCTATTATTAGGTAAGATTGAATAACTATTTCTGGAACTCAGTTTTCTTTCTTGACTAATTCAAGTTACATGTCTAGAAACATTTCCCTTAGTGTTTTCTCATTAATGTGTGGTATGATATATTGGTAAAATTTTAATAACTGGTTCTGCAGGTGGAGAAGTGGGATTTTATACACACACACACACACACATATACACACACATGTAAATAAGCTTATAAATTTTACTTAATTAAAAAGATATGTACCACACAATTCAAAAAACAATGGAAATATTTATAATACTTTTTATTGCAAATTCCATGTAGCCAACTGACTATCAAAGAATGTTTCCATTGATTTTTAGCTTGACTCTTATTCATGGCCAAGAGATGGCTGCAACTACAGTGGAAAATAGTTGGCAAATTCTTAAAAAGTTTAACATACTCTTGCACTATGACCCAAAAATTCCATTCTTATAAGGAAAAAACAAAACAGAACAAAAAAACACATGTATCCAAACAAAGATTTGTACAACCTAGTTTCATTGCTTATTGCAATAGCCAAAAACTGGAAACAACTAAATGACCTTCAAAAGGTGAATGGATAAATAAATTGAGATGTATCCATATAATAAAATACTCTTGGGCAATAGAAAGGAATGAACTACCAATACACTCAAAATGATTATGCTTAAAAATGGTAAAAAGGAATAAACAAATATGCTAAGTGAAAAAAAGTCAGACATAAAAGTTCATACTATATGATTCCATTTAAATAACTCTAGACAATAAAAATTAATCTATAAGATGGGGCAAAAGTAGGTTTCCAGTTGTTTGTATGTAAAATAAGAGAATAATTAATAAATAGCCCTAGCTGGTTTGGTTCAGTGGATAGAGTGTCGACTGCGGACTCAAGGGCACATGCCCAGGTTGGGGGCTCAATCCCCAATGGGAAGCATGTAGGAGGCAGCCAATCAATGACTCTCTCTCTCTCATCATTGGTGTTTCTCTCTCTCTCCCTCCTCTTTCCTCTCTGAAATTTATTTAAAAATATATTTAAAAAATAAGTAAGAATGAACTTCATGTTTCACATACTCAAAACTCTAAACCTACTTTTGCCCCATCCTGTATAGTGATAGAAAATACATCAATGGATGTGAAAGAATTACAAAAGTGCACAAGGAAAGTTTTGAGATGGTGAATATGTTCATTATCCTAATAGTGGTGACAGTTTCTTAGGTGCACACATATCTCAAAGTTATCAAATATACGCTTTACATATATGCAGATATTAATCATACCATAAAGAAGCTCTATTTTTTTTAAATGATCCTCATCTGCCTTGGCCAGTGTGGTTCAGTTGTTGAATGTCCTGGATTGTGAGCTCACTCTCCAGTGTGGGCATGCAGGAGACAGCCAACCAATGATTCTCTCTCATCATTCATGTTTCTACCTCTCTTTCCCTCTCCCTTCCTCTCTGAAATCAATAAAAATATATTGCCAAAAAAATCATTAAATGTTATATATCATCCTTCTAAACCCTCATCATGAGAAACTCTAATTCATTCATAGTCAAAGAAGAGAATTTCTAATACTTTCCTTTACTATGGCCCAGATATAATGAAAAAAAGCCACAGTAACAATCATCATATCGCACCACCGATCCTCTGTTCCTGCCCACTTCTCTTGCTAATAGAATCTATGATTCTACATTTATGTGGAAACAAGGTTTCATTAAGAGATCACTCCTATTAAAGGAGACATCACTAAGGGAACATCTAAATGCTTTTTCTTTTGTACTTAATAGCCAGAAGACCAATAAAAATCTGAGCTTTATAATTTTGAGTATGCATCATAAAAGCATGTCCAGTCAGTCTTCTAAAAGCTATTAAAATCCTAAACACAAAGTCATCCCTGCTAACTTTTCCAGGTCATCCTAGCTCCCAGTTAACTTCCCATGAAAGCAAATACAAAATTATACTTTAATTTCTACAATTTATCATTAGGCTAAACCATACCTCTAAAATGGGTCCTTCTTTTAACAGAGTGCTTTTGCTTCTCCCTTAATCCTGTACAACAGACCCTTTACACTAGCAAGTCCAGCTCTTAACTGTCCAGAATTTCTGTGCCCCCAGAGCTACAGTCAAATGAGGACACAAGGCCACTATCAATGATCATGCACTGGGTAAGTAACAGTTTCCCACACTGCAACCTTGCAGCATGGCATAACTTAAATTCCTAGGTCAAGAGAAGTATCCAATACCACATGACATGGACTTGCCCTTGTTCAGTCTCAGATTGCCAAGATTACAGGTGAATAGTATAAACTGTAATGCCAGGAAATTACCTCACATTCTGTGAGAGGCTTTTTATCAAAGAAAATATAGGGAATAGCAAAGAATGTTTATTTGGATTCAACAAAACCAGGCTCTCATACTACTAGTTCTACTTAATAGCAGCAAAAAATCAGATTAAAAAGACAGGACTAGATGAAATGAAAAGAGTTTAGGTGAGAAAAGTTTCTAAGATCTACCTAAGCTAAAGTGTGGTCTGGCAAGCTAGAAACTAAATTTAAAAACACCTGTGAACATATGGGACCAACCTGACAAGTGGCCTTAAAGTTTGCAGCTTCCACAATACCGCTCTCAATTTTATTTTGCTGCCTAGCCTTTCATTATTTCGTTTCACAGGCACTGCTCAATGGCCCTCAAGATTCCTGCTGCCATTAGAAATATTAATAGATTATATCCCCCCAAAATGTCCAGGTTAGTCATTATTCAGGATATTTTATTTTTACAAAATGGAATCTCACAAAAATTAAGTAAGCTATGAGCTAAAGAATGTTATTAAAGTTATTCAAGTCAAACAAGAATAAACTAACCATAATGTTGCATATCTAGATTTTTTTTATAGGATTTCAGATATTGGCATGAATAACCTATTGTTTAATATAAATAAGGATGAGAAATAAACAAATTGCATACTTCAAGTAACTTAAATTAACTAAGTAACTTACAAAGATTCATTGTCTCATGATACAGACTGCTAAGAGCTCCACAGGTATGCTTCACTGTACACAACCTGGTATTCTATACAACTGTTTCCTACCTTTTAACCCTTTTAAACTAATTTTTATACTAGAAGTAATACAAGTATATATAGTGAAAAAGTCAAACAGAGAAGGATAAACAATGAAAAGTGAAACTACTACTAGGTTAACTACTAACATGGAAAACTTTATTTTACATATATGAGGGAGGCTTCAATATTCATATAGTATCTGGTATATAGTAAAAAATAAGGCCCTTACCAATGATCTGATTATATTTTTATATTCAATAAGAGGTTTCTTAAGTGATGCATACCTGTACAGCTCCATTCTAAGGGTTGCTGAGATATTCCTGCATATTTCAAGACAAACAACAATTTTGGCTGTCATAGTAGAAAGGTTTTTGGAACTCGTAGTTCATGAGATCATTTCAGTATATATCCCTGGGACACATACTGTCTCCTGTGCCTCAAGAGAAGTAAGGTAGTTCTAAGTTCAAACAAACGATTTTTTTAATCAAATTAAATTATTTTGATTCCCTCAAATGTGCCTGCCTATATATCACATAGGCTAGAATTCATTAAGCTTGATCAACAGTGGTTTACGGGTCAATATTTATTCTTAAATGACATCATTCTAATTCATCTACACCAGTATAAAAATGAGCCGAAACCGGTTTGGCTCAATGGATAGAGCGTCGCTTGGGGACTGAAAGGTCACGGGTTCAATTCCGGTCAAGGGCATGTACCTTGGTTGCAGGCACATCCCCAGTGGGGTGTGTGCAAGAGGCAGCTGATCAATGACTCTCTCTCATCTATGTTTCTAACTCTCTATCTCCCTTCCTCTCTGTACAAAATCAATAAAATATATTTTTTAAAAATGAGCAATCTGTTTTAAGTACTTTCAAAAGTGTGTTATCTAGGTTCTGAGGGGTTTTTTTTAGATTCCCCTTATATGATTTATGCATATAAAGCAAAATCTAAGAAAAGTTGGTTCCAGAGAGCTAGAATTTATAAAATTTAAAATATTTTTATAGGCTTGATTTGAAATAAAGCAGAAATCTTAAATTTTTAAGTATCCTAAATTACTATATAATATATTCTTACAAAAAAAATTGTGCCTATATAACAATAGAGTATTTGTTGTTACTTTTCTACAAAAAAAAAAAAAAAGTTATTCTGCAAAGGAAAATAATTACTTCTGGGAACTATATAATAAGACACGTAACTACTTAGTTTTCATAGGTTAACAAAATGGATGTTGCCTATATAAGCATTAACATTACAAAGTCACTATGCAGCAAAAACATGCACACCAAAGTCAAAACTAGTTTCAAATTTCCATTTTAAAACTCAAGGTAACTTGGAAATCTTTTATAAATCAATATATTTGTAACAGGTGCAAACATTTCATTTCCCAGGTCACTGCCAATGATTTCAACTTTAAACTAACTACAAGAAGGAAACAAGTCCAGCTATAACTAACCTCGACTTAATTATACATTTATTCAGCTCAGCTCCCACATTTAGAACAAGTTCTAACTAGGAAGGTAGTATATTATAATAATCAAATACCAACAAAGTAATGGGCAAGACAATACAACATAGCTCATACGTTACTGTAAAGAGATCCACTGTTTCTCATCCAATCAATGATCTCACTTAACTTCCCCTCTTATACCTTCATCAATTTTTCTTTCTAACTAGATCATTTCATCAGCATTGTAACACTCAGATATCTTCCATCTTGAATAAAATTTCTCCCCTGACACCATATTCCTATTACCCTATATCCTTAGTTTACAGCAAAATTCCTAAAAAAAAATCTACGTTCACAATCTTCATCTCATTATCACATTCTTTCTTGAATCCACAACAATCATGCTTTTATCCCCATCACTCCACAAAAATTGCTTTTTTTAAAAAAAGAGAGAAATAGAAACATCAATGAGAGAAATATCTATCAGCAACCTCCTGCACACTCTCTTACTGGGGATGGAACCCACAATCCAGGCATGTGCCCTGCTTGGAAATCGAACCAGTTACCTCTTGGTTCGTAGGTCAACGCTCAATTACTGAGCCACACTGACCAGGCCACAAATATTGTTCTTATCAAGGTAACCAGCAATGTCCACATTGCAAAATCCAATAATTCTGAATCCTTATCTTATTTGACCAATTGGTGGAATCTGATAGAGTTGAGCCTTTATTTTCCCTGACACCTCTTTTATCTTTCTGCCACCCAGAAACAGCACTCACCCTTGGTTCTCCACCTTGCTCACTGGTCTTCCTTCAATATCTCCTTTGCAAATGTCATTTTCGTTTTTATTTGCCCTCTAAATAAAACTGTGTTTGCCTAAGGGGCTCAGTCCTTGAACCTCTTCTCCTCTCTATCTTACTTTACCCCATAGGCAACTACAGCCTGTGATACACACACCAAAACAGCCTGCAGGTTGTATGTGGCTGCCCATTTCAAATCTCCACTTGCATAGCTAATAGGCATCTAAGCATTAACATGGTCCAAGTCAAATCCTAGATTCTACATAAACACTTCCATTCCCCATTTCCACCCGTTTGCCCCTTAACAGTACAAAAGCAATTCCAGTTTCACAGGCCAAAACTAACAAGTTATCCTTGACTCTTCTATTTTATTGGTCCTTACCTTCAAAATATATACAAAATATATCCATTGCTTCTCATCACCCCAACCAGTAGTCCTTAGTCCAGTGATTCTCAACCTTTCTAATGCCATGACTCTTTAATACAGTTCCTCATGTTGTGGTGACCCCCAACCATAAAATTATTTTTTCTAATATATTTTATTGATTTTTACAGAGAGGAAGGGAGAGGGATAGAGTTAGAAACATTGATGAAAGAGAAACATCAATCAGCTGCCTCCTCCATGCCCCCTACTGGAGATGTGCCCGCAACCAATGTACATGCCCTTGACTGGAATAGAACCAGGGACCTTTCAGTCCGCAGGCCAACGCTCTATCCACTGAGCCAAACCGGTTTCAACCATAAAATTATTTTCGTTGCTACTTCATAACTGTAATTTTGCTACTGTTATGAATCATAGTGTAAATATCTGTGTTTCCAATGGTCTTAAGCGACCCTGCTAGCGGTTCTCAACCTGTGGATCACGACCCACAGGTTGAGAACCAGTGCTGTAGAGCCTAAGACCACCGGAAAACACAGATATTTACACTACAATTCATAACAGAAGCAAAACTACAGTTATGAAGTAGCAACAAAAATAATTTTATGGTAGGGGGTCACTACAACATGAGGAACTGTATTAAAGGATCATGGCATTAGAAAGGTTGAGAGCCATTGCCTTAGTCAAAGCCATTATGTCATCTCTTATCTGTACTATTCTAATAAGCCTCCCAAACTGGCTCCTTGTTCCCATAAAACAGAATATCTATACAGGAGGCAAAAGTAATCCTTTTCTAAGCTAAGGCAGATCATGTCACTTTTCTGCTCAAAACTTCTCTTGAGTAGCCATTTCACTTAAAATAAAAACCTAAGTTTTTATGTTCGTCTACAAAGCTTCTCCATGATCTAGTCCCTGCTGCCTCGCATCCACTACCTTTTTCAGCCTCTCCAGCTACACTGGCCTTCTTGCTTTTTCTCAAGTCCACTAAGCATATCCTGCTTTAGACCCTTGTGCTTGCTTTCCCCATCCTGAAACCCTCTTTCCTGGGCATCTGCGTAACTTCTCTCTCATCATTCAGGCTCAGATGTTACTTCTGACTATCTTATAAAAAAGTTGCTCACATGTGACTCTCAATCTTTTTTTCTGCTTTATTTTTCTTCTTAGCACCCATAAGCACCTGACACTGAATATAATCATTTGTTTTCTGTCTGTCTTCCCCAGACACTAAAATGTAAGCACTATGAGAAGTGATTTTGACTTATTCAAAAAGCATCACAAAGAAGAATACTTGGCATTTAGCCTGGTACATATTTGCTGAATGACTAAATAAATAATTACAAGTCATTATGCTGAAAGTTTTATAAAGACTTGTTCATTTAATCATCAAAAAAAGAATATGGAACTATTATTATTCCAATTATACTAATGAGATAAAGGCACAAGAGATTAAATAACTTGTATGTCACAAAGCTTTCCTGTATCTATGAAATGAGATCAAGTTAGAACATACAAATGAAGTACTTAACAAAATGCTTGGCACATAAAATACCTTACATTTCTGGAATACTTATTACATGCCAAACATTAATGTAGGCTCTTTATGTGTATTTAATCATTTAATTATCCTATTGCTTAATGAATGGTTGCTATTATTATTTTCACTATTTATTATTTATCAGGGTACCAACCTTAACTCAATAGAAGTCATAAAAGATGCTGCTGTGAGAAGAAACTCCACAAACTCCAACTTTTACTCTTCTCAGAAAAATGTTAACATGTGCTTAAAAAACAATGTGTTTTGAATATTAGCACTGGAAACCAAATCAAAATTAACTGAATTTATATCAGACACAGACACATCATTAACTGTATTATTTGCTATCCCTCAGTTCTTTTAAAAAGCCCTCTAACATTGAAAAGAGTCACAGATTTCCATTACAAAAAAATCTACCCCTCCAACAAAACTTTGGTTGCTACTCCATATTGCACTATATTATGGTTAAAGCATATTTTTCATTATAAGCTAAAAATTATCTGGATTCAAGTAGATCTTTTTAATGTTTAAAATAGAACTTATTCATTTCTACTAATAAATACAAAAATCTCCAAGTTTACCTAATGTAAACAGTCCACCTGTCTTAAAAGGCAGTTTTATTACCAAAAATAAATTTTGAAATTACTGCATCTGAGAAAAAGTAGCCAATTTCCTTTATCCTTTAGTTAAAGTGAAAGCCACGGGAACCATGAAATTTACTGAATACTATTTTGTCAGCTCAATATGTCTTTTGGGTTTTGATTTATAACTCAACCTGCAGATACTCATTCTTTATTGACAATTAACATGTAAAATATTCAGGGTAAAGACCCTTAAAACTTACGGTGCAATTATGGCTCTAGCAGGTCTTTTTGTAGACTGTACTTGTGAAAGCCAACCTTCCAGCTGTGCATTCAGCTGCGGTCCTATAAAAAGAGAAAGAGAAACTGGAGTCAGCAAAGCAATTTACTATAGACAACCACACATGACACAAAACCTTCATTAAACCTATTGGACTAAAATAATTTAATGGGCGACGGGATCATGAGTTTGGATGTTAATATTTGCAACTTAACGTACAAAGTCTCTAGCAAGCAATTTTGGTAAGATCACATACTAAATAAACCAAACTTGCTTTTATCCATTTGCTTATTTTTTGCAACAGTCTTCAAACCAGAACAATTGTATGCTCTACAATTTGAGGGGTTATTTAAACAAAATAAAGGAAGAAACAGAAAACTGTTAGTATATGAATGAAAATAATTGAGTAAATGTTTTTTAAACACCAAAACATAAAAATGTTAATTTTTTCCTTAAAAGTCAATTAGCTAAAGACAGTATATTTGGTCACCTCCACAACCAAGTGAATTTAGTTTAAACTATGTGTGACAAATGTTGCCATCAGTCTTCTTACTTGAGTGCTTCTCATGAGAGCGTGTATGTAACTACATAAAAGGGTGAATTCTCTGTAGGCTTTGCAATCTCTTAGATTGCCCGTGATATGCATCATATTCTAGATTAATGTTTCTTCAAACATTGAATTGTTTTCTTTCTTTTCTACCTTTGAAGAGAGGTTTTCTGAGATGGCAGGAGGCTTTGGTTTAAATTACTTTCCTCCAACATCAGCAATGGTTAAAAATTCTCATTTCTGTATATCCTTATCAATATTGGATATTCTCAGAATTTTTTTAATTTTTGCCAATTTGATGGATAAGAAATAGTATCCTTTTGTTTCTTCTCATTCTTATTTTCAAAATATCCATTGAGATTAATTGTGTAGTAATTTGGAAATCTTCTATATATATTCATAAACAAGTCAAATTTATGACAACCAATTTACTCTGTAAATTGCCAGAATACCAAAAAAAAAAAAGTCTGACTCAGCACTCAAACAATGTAGTTTATTTTTTAAACTTAAATTTAAGAACAATCACCAAGCCGAAACCTCTTTGGCTCAGAGGTAGAGCGTTCGTCTGTGGACTGAAAGGTCCCAGATTCTATTCCGGTCAAGGGCATGATCATTGGTTGCGGGCACATCCCCGGTAGGGGGTGTGCAAGAGGCAGCTAGTCGATGTTTCTAGCTCTCTATCTCTCTCCCTTCCTCTCTGCAAAAAAATCAATAAAATATATTAAAAAAGAACAATCACCAAAAAACTTATATGAAATAATCTCATTAACTCAAGGAAAAATAGAAAGTTAAATTTTTAACTGCCTACTAAATTTCATATTAACAAAATAAGTATTCTAAATATTTCCATATTACAGGAAGTTTGTGAAACAGAAATTGAAAGCCTTATAAGAGCAAAGAAAATATCTTCCAATTCAGACACTTTTTTGACAGCAACCTCAGTGATTTTAAGCACTAAACCAAGCCTTCTTATCATTTCTTCTAGACAAGGACCAATTTCTACAGAGGAATCTTAGGATTAAAGCTGAACTCCAATCTATACTAGGGGCCCAGTATGAATTAGTGCACCGGTGGAGTCCAGCCGGCCCCTCCCAATTGGGGTGGGGAGGCAATCAGGGGCAGGGCCAGCCGGAAAGAGGGGCCATGGGCGGTTGGCAAGCTGGCCCCCACTCCCTGGCCAAACATCCAGATGAACTCAGAGTCAAACTCCTAGTAGAGGGAAAGGCTTGTGTATTAGCCTTTTATTATACGGAATGGTTGCTTAATTGTTGATCTATAAACAGTCAAATAAAAAAATGAATTTCAGTCCTTCCAAAGAGGATATTTGGCAATATGGTCTCCTTAAATACATGAAGATGATGTAGAATATGTATTTTGTCTTTCAAATACCACTGGATTTGAAGGCACACTGATGAATGGAAAAATTAGCACTGTTCAATCCTAGCAAACTACTCCATGGTTATGTGAAGGACAAATGGGCATGTACTACTTTGGATAAAATAATAAAAGTAAATTCCCAAAAGAACAATGTTAAGGCATTTCCTTAAGAAATAGGCAATAAACAGTGTGCTGTTAGCAATTCAGTAACACTTCCGTTTGAATCCCCCTTGAATCAAATAATATTTCACTAATAAGTTTATTTGCATGGTGACAAAACCACAGATATTAAACACACATACAAACAAATACACACCTCCTTTTCAGGAATTCCTTTGCAGCTACTTATCAGAATCATTCTAAGATGTTATAATTAAGTGAAGTCAAATTTTTTTTTTATACTGTCCTAACTCTGTTTGGCCAGCTCCTCCTAGCCCTCTTCCCCCTCCCACACCAAAAAATAAAATAAAATTCAATCAATGGACTCCTCAATCTGAACAAATATCATGTATTTGATTAACTCTTCTCAAACAACGTGCAATTCAACGTGAATTGCAATCACCAGAAGATCTTGTTAAAATGCTAATTCTGATTTGATAGATCCCCTGGGGCAGGGCCTCAGATTCTGCATTTCTAACATTTTCCCCAGGTACTAGCAATATTTGCTAGACTCTGGACCACACTCTAGTAGCAGTCTAGGTCAATAGTTCCCAACCCAAAAAGGGTCTTGACCCTGGCCAATGTGGCTCAAATTGTTGAGCGTCATCCCCATGCATCGAAACATCACTGGTTCGATTCCTGGTCAGGGCACATGCCCAGGTTGCAGATTCAAACCCCTGTTGGGGATGTGTGCAGGAAGCAGCAGGATGTTTCTCTCTTGAATCAGTTTCTCTCCCTTTCCTTTTCTCTCTCCCCCCACTTCTTCTCTAAAAATCAATGAAAAAAATGTTTTTTTTTAAAGGGAGTTCTTGGACCTACAAGGACTCCGCAAATATTTATGCATACCAAGACTTACCTAGAAATAAAATAAATGTAAGACCCGTCAACTATAAAGAAATACATACTCATTTAAGTGTTAAGGAAATGTTTTTACCTTTTAAAAGCATATTTTCTCAATCAACAGATAAAAACAAACAACCACTGTCCTGTAGGAAATTCTGTACTTTCTGACATGAAGTTTCTTAAAAGGAGGGAAAGGAGGATACACGTTAAAAGCTTGAGAATGATTATAGACCTATCACTTAGTTTTCCTAGAATTTATCTAAACTGTGTTTCAATTACCTTACAGCTTTATTTCCAACTAGAGGCCTGGTACACAAAATTCATACTCGGGAGCAGGTTGGGGGAGGCCTCAGCACAACCTGCACCCTCTCACAGTCTGGGAGCCCTCAGGGGATGTCTGACTGATGGCTTAGGCCCACTCCTCCTAGACATCCTTAGCACTGCCACAAAGGCGAAAGATGGCTCCGTCATCGCAGCTGCGCTAACCAGCCATGAGCCCAGCTTCTGGCTGAGCAGCACTCCCCCTGTGGAAGCGCACTGACCACCAGGGGGCAGCTCCTGCGTTGAGTGGGATCAGGCTGAAACCGGCTTTCCAACATCCCCCAAGGGGTCCTGGATTGCAAGAGGGCACAGGCCAGGCTGAAGGACCCCACCAGTGCACAATCGGAGATGAAGAGGGACTGCGGGAGGGCTCCAGGGCATGTCCACCTGTCTTGCTCAGTCCCAATTGGCCAGATCCCAACAGCAAGCTAACCCACCAGTCAACTGTCTACCCCCTGATGGTCAGTACACATCACAGCAAGCAGGTGAGCGGCCTTAGCATATCATTAGCATATTACACTTTGATTGTTTGAACGAACTGCTGGACAACTGGACACTTAGCATATTAGGCTTTTATTACATAAGACTAGAGGCCCGATGCATGAAAATTCATGCACGGAGTGGGGGTGGCCTCAGCCTGGCCTGCCCCCTCTCACAGTTAGGGAGCCTTCAGGGAATGTTCTATTGATGGCTTACGCCCGATCCTCATGGGAGGCAACTGGGCCAGCCAATCAGGGGAAGGCAGTGCCCCCATCATGCTGCTGCTGCTGCCACTGCCGGCTGCCACAGCTGCCTGAGCTTCAACTCAGCCCTCACAACCACTGCAGCTTTGTTCGGAGGGGCATCCGGAAGACCTCCAGTCTAATTAGCATATTATCCTTTTATTAATATAGATTATTCACAAAGGTCTTTTAAGCTTATTTAGATATGATTTTTCATACAGCACTGTTGTGTTTAATGTTTTTAAGTCAGAGTCATCAGTCATCCTTGTTTTTCTATATTATCATACCTCTGTACCATTTAAAGAATTAGTGATGCAATATTTCTTCTAAAAATGTTCCTCTCATGCCTCTGGGACTGTTTTTTAAGCAACTTGATGCCATACATTTTTTTATCTTACCAAAAGTTATCTCCAGAAGGTGTAATTAACAGAAGGTTTCAGAAGACAACCCAGAGTAGGTAATCTCTCCCATAAATGGAATGTTTGTTGAAACTTCAGTGGGTTGCAGTTGTCTAGTCATAACAGCAGGATTAATAATTAAGTTCATAGGTGTGTGGGCAGTGACAACTATTTGACAACGAAGATTTTAATATACCGTTGACTATAAAACACCTCATTTTCAGCAGTGCTAAAAGGTGGGAAAATGTACATCTTAAAATCAATGAGCTATGAAAACCACATGCACTACAATGTTCTGATATTTATTTCAACACAGAACAAATGAAAACCTCATCAAAGACCAGCAATTGAAAACCACAATACTTGTAAAAAGTGTTTCTGAGAAGACTTATCAACTACAATCTCATTTAATTTTAAACATAAACAACATGGGGAAAAGGGATAGGGGAGGGCAATGGGGGGAAAAAGGGACCATCGGAAAACACAGATATTTACATTACGATTCATTAACAGTAGCAAAATTACAGTTATAAAGTAGCAACGAAAATAATTTTATGGTTGGGGGATCACCACAACATGAGGAACTGTATTAAAGGGTCAAGGCATTAGAAAGGTTGAGAACCATGACAATCTAAGCATCCACAAAAACAAAACAAAACTGGTTAAATAAATTTTGCTAGATCCATAGAGTAGAATAT